AGATAAATTAACAGCAAAATGAGGCATGTCGTCTTTCATCAAAGTCCTGCTTTATTGTCAAGCAGACGTTAGGGGAAACTTTAGTTTTGATGGTGGCAAATATTTAGATCCAAAGGGGTGATTTTCAAGGGATCTTGCCAATATGGCAGTGCCTCTTGCAATAAGAGCTATATTGTAGGTACTGCATCTGAAACTCTTCGACCCTGTTTCTGATCAGTTGTAAAGTTTTGTTGAAGTATGTTGTAAAGGTATTTGGAAACGTTGAAGCAGACAGGAAACATATCAGTCCAAACTGTTACTAGTAACCTACCATGTTTTCCATGACCAGAAAAACATGCATGCTTAATGGAAACTGTTTTGGAACTTCAAGAGTAGAATGTTACAAATGCGCCAGTACAGCCAACCCCAACAAGAGACAAGAAAAGCCCCCCCAACAAAAAGAAAGAAACAGAAAACCACTCACACGCAAGAAAACAGAAAAACCCAACACTTCCCAAAGTCACTTCGTCGTGGATAAACGTTGTGGCTAACTGCCACAATTCACTGACAACTTGTGGAGTTTTCTGTTCCATCTTTGATTGTAAACAATGCAAAAAATGTTGCTGGGGAAATTTCAGTTCTGCCAGTCTTTGGGTATCGTACCGTTTACTCTGCAATTTGTGTGTATGTATAGTTCCCTATAAATTGTTTTAAAACACTGGAAAGTTTAGAACTGACTGAGCTTTATGGTCTTCTTAATTATCTTCAGCGCCATTCAGTTGGAGGAGGCATTGTTTGCCAGGTACGTGGTGTTCTCTTTGACTCGACCCTTCAGTGAGCAGCATGGTAATGGGAAGGGCCGTGTTCTGGTCTCGCTCCTTCCACATTAAGGGCATTTAGGCAAATATCCAGCTTCCCCCATCCACTCCAAATGTACACTGCTCCCACCTTGCGTCTGAATGACAGAGACAAAGTGCTGGACATCACATTGCTACTGCTGAAAGGATAATATACTTCATCAGCCTGTGGCATTACTCAAGGAATCATGCATAGCTGCCCAAGGACGGACAAGATTGCCTTTCCAAAGTCTGTGTTCTACTTACGGCTTGCATTTTATTTCTTATTCACATTAGCTTGAAGTTTTTACACATATTAATGCATTGTTCTGGTTGAGTGCCTTGCAAGTTCTCAAAAAACTCAGCTGAGTGCTTTTCTCAGCTGTGAATGTTATAAATTTTATCTTCTAATCTCACCCTAGTGCATTTTTACTGTAGTTTAAACTGTACGTCGATAAAATATAATGCTAACCATCTTGTAGGAATGCTGTCTAAATGGAGATGCCCAGTTCCAAACGGAAAAATTGGTTTTCCTTGTGAATCAGGAGTATAAATCAATGCTGAACTAATTCAACTACGCATTAGCCCCCCCCGGCATTCATGTAGCTGTTTAATTGCATGGGCTGTATCACATTATACACTGTTATTGATGTTGCTTTTCACACTTGGGCTGAAGACTTGAAGTTGAGTCCCTCACAAGTCTTGTTATCTTGTTAATTAATGGTGACCGGGCCTGTGTTGACATGGACTTGCAATGGTCCTGCTACACAGGTTTGTGGACATCTCCCACTCCATTTATCATGTTCTTTTCCTGTTTGTATTTTAGGCATTTTAAGACATTTTCATCTCTCTGGTGAGTACCTGATGCGTGGTAAGTTTTACCAATGATCATGATCAGGCATCGATTGATAGGAAAATAAAACCCCAGAGTCCCCATCACCGCCGTGACAGTCATGCCCTCAACTGCCAAAACACCATTTGTCGGTTCTGGTGCCGAGAAACTGTTTACTCCAAAGGGAATTTACACAAATTGTAGAGAGAACTAGCTGTCGATACAATGGTAGACAAAGTGCATTTCAACAAGATGGTGCTTTGCTAGTTGGTAGCAGCAACTAAAAATTTCCAGACAATTTTGACAAGACGCTGGAAAAATTGGATGCAGAAATAGAAAGGAAAAAAAGAACTTAAGTTGACCACTTTGGAAACATTAATTATCACCTCTGCGGGAGTGTCCCCTTCTCTTTGTTGCTAAAAATAATTCAGTAGGCCTATTGGTGCTGATGGGTAGTNGCTTGCCATATGTGCCACAGATGGTGTACAAGTGTGCTTAAACGTATATATCCTGAATATTTGGCAGTAGTTGCTACCTTGTTTGAGTAAATTTTTTTGGTAATCTCTTTTTAAAATCACACAGGTCCACCTCCTGCACATCCGCCCAAGCAAGGTGAGTTGTACAAGTGATTATTTTAATGTGGTACAGATAAATTAACTGCAAAATGAGGCATGTCGTCTTTCGTCAAAGTCCTGCTTTAGTGTCAAGCAGATGTTAGGGCAAACTTTAGTTTTGATGGTGGCAAATATTCAAATCCAAAGGGGTGATTATCAAGGGATCTTGTAGGTACGGCTTCTGAAACTCTTGGACCCTGTTTCTGATCAGTTGTAAACTTTTCTTGAAGTATGTTGTAAAGGTATTTGGAAACATTGAAGCAGACAGGAAACATATCAGCCCAGAATGAAATACATGTAGCATGTCACTGTAACTTGTTATTTTAGAAGCAACAATCATTTTCGGGAGAAGGTAGCAGTGATGAACACTTAACAGAGACAAAAAATAAGCTTCAACCCTTTGTGTTCTTAAAAACTATTTCAGGATCGATGCAATTCGTAGGTCCTGTTTCTGGACCATATGGAGGACGTAAGTGACAATATTCTGTATTGTTATGTCTTTAACTCTGAAAAACTCACATTACCCTGTTCTCTTGTATACCACACCCATTGTAAATGCATGGATTTCTCTCTCAGACTTGCTGAATGTTCTGGAGTAGCCTTCATTATTTGAGTTCCCGTATGTATCCATTAAAGAAAAAACTAATTATTACATAAGGACATCCTACACAGTTAAATAAAATTCTGTTTATATTCCTTTAAACTGTTACTAGTAACGTACCATGTTTTCCATGGCCAGAAAAACATGCATGCTTAATGGAAACTGTTTTGGAACTTCAAGAGTAGAATGTTACAAATGTGCCAGTACAGCCAACCCCAACAAGAGACAAGAAAAGTCCCCCCCAAAAAACGAAAAGAAACAGAAAACCACTCACACGCAAGAAAACAGAAAAAGCCAACACTTCCCTTACTTTGTCGTGGATAAACGTTCTGGCTAACTGCCGAAAATGCAGCTCATTTTTATGATCTTGCCAGCAACTTCTTCAGACGTCACGGTAGAATGTAGGGAGTACAGCCTAACCGGGTCTAGAAGAAGCTTGACCAGGCCAGAAAAAAGCCTAGGCCACCAAGGTCTCTGAAGTCCTTGACTTATGAATGATAGAACTCTCATCTAGACCTACCGGCACTCCTGCTGTAAAAGACTCAATTCACTGACAACTTGTGGAGTTTTCTGTTCCATCTTTGATTGTAAACAATGCAAAAAATGTTGCTGGGGAAATTTCAGTTCTGCCAGTTTTGGGGTATCCTACCGTTTACTCTGCAATTTGTGTGTATGTATAGTTCCCTATAAATTGTTTTAAAATACTGGAAAGTTTAGAACTGACTGAGCTTTATGGTATTCTTAATTATCTTCAGCGCCATTCACATTCAGTTGGAGGAGGTATTGTTCGCCAGGTACGTAGTGAATGACAGTAATTGTTTATTATGTTATGCTGACTTCTTGGTGTTTTCTTTGACTCGACCCTTCAGTGAGCAGCATGGTAATGGGAAGGGCCGTGTTCTGGTCTCGCTCCCTCCACATTAAGGGCATTTAGGCAAATATCCAGCTTCCCTTATCCACTCCAAATGTACACTGCTCCCACCTTTTGTCTGAATGACGGAGACAAAGTGCTGGACATCACATTCCTACTGCTGAAAAGATAATATACTTAATAAGCCTATGGCATTGATACTCAAGGAATCATGCATAGCTGCCCAAGGACTGACAAGATTGCCTTTCCAAAGTCTGTGTTCTACTTACAGCTTGCATTCTATTTCTTATTCACATTAGTTTGAAGTTTTTACACATATTAAGGTAGTGTTCTGGTTGAGTTCCTTGTAAGTTCTCAAAAAACTCAGCTGCGTGCTTTTCTGAGCTGTTAATGTTATAAATTTTATCTTCTAATCTCACCCTAGTGCATTTTTACTGTAGTTTAAACTGTACGTCGATAAAATGTAATGTTAACCATCCAGTAGAAATGCTGTCTAAATGGAGATGCCCAGTTCCAAACGGAAAAATTGGTTTTCCTTGTGAATCAGGAGTATAAATCAATGCTGAACTACGCATTAGCCCCCCCCCCCCGAGGCATTTGTGTAGCTGTTTAATTGCATGGGCTGTATCACATTATACACAGTTATTGATGTTGCTTTTCACACTTGGGCTGAAGTTGAGTCCCTCACAAATCTTGTTATCTTGTTAATTAATGGTGACCTGTGTTGACATGGACTTGCAATGGTCCTGCTACACAGGTGTGTGGACATCTCCCACTCCATTTATCATGTTCTTTTCCTGTTTGTATTTTAGGCCCTTTTGGACGATATCGTAGTTCTGGTGAGTACCTGACGCGTGGTAAGTTTTGCCAATGATCACGATCAGGCATCGATTGATAGGAAAATAAAACCCCAGAGTCCCCATCACCGCCGTGACAGTCATGCCCTCAACTGCCAAAAGACCTTTGTCGGTTCTGCTGCCGCGAAACTGTTTACTCCAAAGGGAATTTAC